CGGCGACTCGGTGACGACGCGCCGCGCCCAAGATGTATGCCCAGCACCGAGGCGAAAGCCGCATTCGCTCTTTCGCGCGCGATGTTCGCCGCATGCGCTCACTCCTGCCACACACTGTGCAACGCCGACGACAGAACGGCAATGTTGAGAGAACGCTTCGAGAGGGTAAGTGTTTTGGGCTGACAAGGGCCCAGATTCGGTTGTTATGGCAGAGTGGTCGTGATCGTGTAGTTGTGGCAAGTCCTGCCACCGTGCCGCCCGCGTGGATCCAGGGGGATTCCTTACACGACTTCCAGAGGCCCTGCCAGACAGCACTTGGAATCCTACCCTGCCTCAGCGTGCCAGACGGATAGGTAGCGGGTATACCAATGATGAGCGGAGGAAGCCAGGCGGAAGTCGAGCAAGAAGTCTTGCTCTCCTGGGGGGGCGGCGCGGATCTACAGCAACTGGAGGTGCTTCGCCGATAGGCTCTCGCTGGACTGGGCCGTGGTGGCGAACGAGGACGGGATGGAGGACAAGGTGGGTGCCGACAGGGCGCTGCTGGTGGGCAACCAGGTCAACTACTCCCAGATGGTCGGGTGGGGCAGCGCGAAGCTGGACGTGGTGGGCCGGAACAAGATGGTGACGGTGCTGAAGGTCATGAGCCTGACGGGCCTGGACGTGCTGTTCACGGACGCGGACAACGTGTTCCGCGGCGACCCGTTCCGGCCGGGGGCGAGCCTCGGGGACCTGCTGCGCTCGGGGAGGTACGACTACGTCTACCAGGAGGAGCTGCAGAAGGCCCCCAGCCCAGACCACAGGGTGCCAGGGGACGGCGGGAACACGGGGTTCTTCTTCGTGTCCGGCACGCGCAAGCCGCAGAGTGTGCGGGCGTTCTGGGCCACGGTGCTGTCGGAGCTGGACCGCATCCAGGCGGGCAACGCGGAGCACCTGGGGGCCGACCAGTCGATCTTTTGGCAGGTCAGCGACGACAGAAAACGGGGCCTGGCATCGCTCGGACGTGTGCATTTTTTTCTCGGCGAGGATCCTTGAGGACCGTCCTGGACCATCGAGGGAAAAAAACGCGCACGAAATCGAAACATGCACGGGAAATGGACGTCCGAGCGATGGCGCCGACATTCGCGCAAGCAAGCTGCCCGAGCAAAAGGTCGCACGTCGGCGCCCTCGTTTCTCCAGTGTGGCGTGCCGGCGCCGGCGGCCCGCGTAAGCCGCGGCTCGGGTGTTGCTGGAAGTGCCCCTGGCCCAAGGTGCCCCCAGGATTGCCAAGGAGGCCAGCCACAACTGGGGGAGCTGTGGTCCTTACCCCCCTGGGGGACCCATCGATTTTGACATCCCTCTCGAGAGATCGTCGATGCGATGGATTCCCCCAGGGGGGTAAGGACCACAGCTCCCCCAGTTGTGGCTGGTCGGCACGGAGGCCCCCACGGCCTCCAGAGCACCCCTCACGAGGCCCAGAGGGCCCCAGGGGCTCCAAGCTCAAGCGAGCAGCTGGGGGCACCTTGGGCCAGGGGCACCTGAAGCAACCCCCGAGCGGCGTAGGGTCGCTACGGCCTCTCGCGCGGGACCCGCTTCTTTTCGTGTCTGAGGTGCTGAACGCGCTGCGGCAGAGCCGAGGCGCGTCCCCCCGCGCGCCGGGAGGCCCGGGCTTCCGGTGCTTCGAGCTGTGCGGGCAGCCGCCCAGCTGCGAGGCGTCCGCGCAGGAGACGCTGCAGTACTGCTCCATGCGAAGAGCAGACAGAGGCCCGGGCAGCGATGGCTCGGAGCTCCGCGCGGAGTCCTCGGGGATCGGCGCTGGGCCCTCCTTGGCGGCGCCTCCGGCGCCGCCCCGGGGTGGGGTGCCCAGCGCCCATCCAGGAAGCCCACGCGGACCTCCGAGCCAGCATGCTTATGCCGCTCTCTGCTCCTCGGCCCATGGACCCCTTCCAGCACCCGACGGGGTGGGAGGACCCCCCGGGCGCCCTGGTGACGTACCACGCCAACTACGCCTCGAACGAGATGAAGATCGACAAGCTGAAGAGGGCGCGGCTCTGGGGCGCCTCCTGCGCCGAGCCACTTCAGGGAGAGAGGTAGATGCGGGTGAAGTAACCGGTGCCGCCGACGACCGATAGATGCGGGGACCACGGTGCCCGTCCGAGTCGCCGCCTCGTGTTGATGCAGAGCCAGATCGGCCTCGAGCACAGTGCCTGACACGGGCAGACCCCGCCCCGTGCAGAACAGAGACCCCCGCGCCGGGACCGGGTGCTGATCGAGAGAGGTTGGCGGCGCGCCAAAGGAGGTAGGGGAAGGGGGGAAGGCTTCTTAGAAGCACCCTGCTTCTTAGAAGGCCTCGGCCTTACGTCTATAGAGAAGGCCCGCGCCTTCTAAGAAGCAGGGGTGCTTCTAAGAAGCCTTCCCCCTCCCCCTACCCCCCTCTGCGCGCCGCCAAAGAGAGAGCAGGCTGACCACGCTTCTCAGCTTCACCCCATGACTTTCGAGACTCGGTCGTGGCTCGCCGCCCTTCCCGGCCACCGGGCGGCCCCGAGCGAAGCCGGCGGGCGGCTCTGCCGGGGTTTCGGCGCGGGTCGCCGCCGCCCTCGGCGGCCCCGGGCGAAAAGGCGGAGGACCGCGCCGGGCGCGCCGCCCCGCCGCTGCGCGAGCGCGAGGCCAGTGGGAGCCCGGCGCACGGGCGACGTCCTGCGGATCCAGCGCCGTGCCGCGACCCGCCTGGACTGGAGGGGTTCTCCTCCTCCTCGTCGTCCTCCCCCCTGCTCCTCCTCGTCCTCCTCCTCCTCCTCCTCGTCGTCCTCCCCCCTGCTCCTCCGCGTCCTCCTCTTCTTCAGATGGCTCGAAGAACATGGGGCCCGCACAATCCACGTTCGAGACCGAAGCGGGTCGTCGGCGCATGTACTTCGGCAGGCACTGCACTTGAGCACCACAAAGAGGCAACTCGTGAGTATATGGCGAGGAAGTCTCGAGCGGGAGCCCCATCCCTCTGTGGCTTGCGCTTCACGTTCGAATCCGAGCTGGGCCATCCGAATCTTGAACCCGTCGTAACTTTTGCGCTTCTCAGAGATGAGAATGGAGGAAGTATGATGCGTGTGCCTCTCCTGATGGGGTCCGCAATTCAGGGCGGGCTCAATATGGAAGAAATCTGAAGCGGGAGCCCCAGCCCAACGGGGCCCGCAGTTCGTGTTCGAATCCGAGGCGGAATCCGAAGCGGGTCATCAGGAAATTTGAACACCCCAAGGGGGCGGTACCAGAAAAAAATTCTGGTGGTAGAAAAACACATATTTCGGCGAGTCGGCGGCGCTCAAAAGCTTGGCATGCCATGGGCCGTCGCGGGGAGGCAATCTCGGGTCCAGACTTCTTCGCCATGCAGTTACAGACGAGGCCGCCGCTCCGGACATGCTCACGAATGGCCACTTGGGGGCGCTCAGGTGATATGCCTTGTAAGATATCCCGATGACCCGCCATGTATTCGAACATTCAGTGCGGGCGCCTTAGGTAGAAGGCTCCAGCGTTAGCTTTCCTCGCCAGTCACTCACATACGAGGCCACCGTTCCCGACAGCTTCGTTGCCCCTTGGGGGTGCTCAAGTGCTATGTCTTGTAGAGTATGCCGATGACTCGCTTGGAATAGTAATACGGCTTGCGGACCAGATAGGGCGAGGGTTCCCTCTTGAGGCTTCCTCTCGATTCGCTCACAGACGAGGCCACTGCTCCCGAGGTCCTCACGGTTTGCCCAGTTCGGGTGTTCAAGTGCTATGCTTGGTTGAGTATGCCGATGACCCAGTCGGATTGGTAATGTGACTTGTTGGCCCCATAGGGAACGGGCTCCCGTTTAAGACTTCGTCGCACGTCAGTCACTGACGAGGAGCCCGTTTGAGTCATCTTCACGAGTTGCAAGTATGGGGTGCTCAAGTGTTTTGCCTTGTCGAGCATGGTGACGACCGCTCGGATTGGTAAGTGTGGGCCGCATATGGAAGGGGTTCCCGCCCGAGATTTTCCCGCTACTCACTCACCGACGGAGCCCCCCGACCGAGACTTCCTCACGATGTGCCTCTTGGGGTGCCCACGTGCTCTGCCTGGATGACCCTCTCGGATTAGTACCATGACTTGCGGGCCCCGTAGGCAGGGGGCTTCCGCTTGAGATGTTTGTTCTAGTCACACACGAGGCATGCGCCTGAGTCTTCATCAAGATGAGTGTGAGGGAGTGTGTGTGTGTGAGAGAGATTAATGGCGAGTGTGAGAACATGGTGTGGTGATGCTTGATGATGCTGGCCTGGTGCTTCTGACGATGACGGTGGTGATGCTGATGGTAAAGACAGTGGTGGTGTTGCTGCTGCTGCAGATAAAGATATTGTTGATGAGAGTGTGAGTGAGTGTGGGTGATGATGAACATGATGAAGGTGATGAAGATGACGATTACTATGATGGTGATGATACCGTGGTGTTCATGGTGACGAGAGTGGTAATGGTGATGGTGGTGGTGGTGGTGGTGGTGATGGCGAAGACGACAAGGGGGAGGAGAGATCCTGCGGTGTGTGTGTGTGTGTATGCGCAGTGAAAACAGTAATCCCGTTTTGGATGTGGGGCATTTGACCGCCCGTTTCTGCGCAATTGCTTCCAACCAGATCGATCTGTGAGGGTCTTGGGGCCCGAAATTTGGCGAAAACGCCCGGCTCGAAAGAGTCGACACGCCAGCATCTCACGTCACACTCCAGTCGACTTTTCTCCTCCTCCCTCTTCCGCCCCCTGCAGCCCCCCCCCGCCTCCCCTCCCCCCCCCCCCTCCTCCGCCCTCCGCTCCGCCCCCCTCGCCCCCCCTCTTCGCCCCTCCCCTTCGCCCTTCCCTTCGCCCCCCCCTGCCCTTCCCCCCTCCCCGCGCTCCCCCCGCGCCCCTCTTCGCCCCTCCCTTCGCCCCCCCTTCGCCCCCCCCCTGCCCTTCCCCCCCCCCCCCGCGCTCCCCCTGCGCCCCCGTCCGCCCGCCGATTAGCGGCGCCGGCCCGCGCCCGCCGCGCGAGCCGCCTCGCCCGGGCAGCAGGCGCGCCCGCGCGCGGGCCGCTGGGGGGGGGGGGCCCGCCGCCCTACTGGGAGGGCCGGGCCTGCGGCTGCGCTCAGGTCGGGCGTGTCCGTAGTTCCAGACCCCCTCGAGTTATGAGAAAATCACGACGGGAGGTTTTTCATTATTTTTAGCTTTTGGGGGCCCCCACCGGCCCTCGGGACCGTAAAAAAAACGACTCAGGACGAAACGCCGGTCCCGGCGAATGGGTCCAGACCGCTGGGGGTCGACGTCATGAAAAGTTCATGACATCGAGGGTCTGGGGTTCGGGGGTGGACAGAACCCCCAACAGTGACGCGTCGATTCGTGACTTGTTCGTCCGTTTCCAGGCTTGCGCCCGCCAGGTTTGGGACTCGGGTCGTTTTCGCTAAACCACGTGTTACTAAAGAGGGGTCTGTCCATCCCCGATAAGTGGGCCCTGGAAGCGACAGGGCCGTTTTTGTTACCGGCTCCGTTCTGCCGTTTTGTTGCCGGTCCCGACGCCGCTGTTTTACCGGTTCCGTCGCCGTTCTTTGACCGGTTCCGGTTCCGGTTCCAATCCTGGAGCCGTTTTTGTTGCCGTTTCCAGTCGCAGTTGTTTTTGCCGCTTCCATTTTCAAGGAACATATTTTCGGAAACGGTGACAAAACGGCCCTGCCGTTTCCGGGGCCCACAAAGGGCGTGTCCCCCTAGAGGCGGATTTTGGACGAAAAGCGAAAAATTGTCAAAAAGATACCCCAAAGTGATCAGAAATATTCAAAACACCGTGACCACATTATTTCTCGACTATTTTTGGGTACTCCTCCTGTAGAGGGACAGGCCCGACTTCAGGCTACGCCGGGCGTGCCCCCCGACAGAAGAAATTTTCCAGAGGCGACGCTAGGGGCAAATAGCCCAGGGGAGAGCAATGCATGTACAGTCAATGCGCCTAGTAAGAACGCGCCCCTTCATCTAGGGTACCCTTGTGTCCTTACCACGGCGCGGCCTCCAAGGGTCTCGCGTCCTTACCACCCGTCCTGACTATACGTTTATACTGTATTCAGGTGCGCCGATGAGCTATGTCCTCAGAAAAAGGCTCCCGGGCGAATGCGTTTCACCCCTATCGTCGCCGCCAGATATTCAAAAATAGTCAGGGGACGAGTTGTTGATTCTGTGATTGTTTTTTCAGTCATTGCTTTGCCGATCGGCGCGGGCCCCCCAAAAAAGCTCTTCCCCCCCCGATGGAGTAGCTCTGGACTTTTTTGTTGGCGCCTGTTTCGGGCGGGTGGAGTCTCCCCAAGAGGCCGCACGGTTGCAAGCAGTCGCACTAAGCAGAGGTCTTGAGCCAGAACCCCCCTTCCCCCCCTGGCCGCCCAATGTCGAAACGCCGAAAAAAAAAACGCTCACTATTTTGGAATATGTTTTGATTATTTCCTGACTGTCTGCAAAGATTCATTCAGAATCCGCCTGTAGGAGGACATGCCCGACCTGGGTCTGCGGCAACTTCGCGCGGCGACGCTGGCGAAGGCACTGAACGAGGAATGCTGCGACGCGGAGGGCACTGAGGGACACGGTCAAGCCACTGGACCCGACTGGGTTCCACCCTGAACGATCGAGGCCGCGATCGATTCAAGGTGGGACGATCCGCGAGGTGTCAGAAACCTCTGCGCGCGTTCCTCCTCCTCCTCCTCCTCCTCCTCCTCCTCCTCCTGCTCCTCCTGCTCCTCCTCCTCCTGCTCCTCCTCCTCCTCCTGCTCCTCCTCCTCCTCCTGACGCCGCGCGAGCCTGCCGCGGTCGATCCCCGGCTCGGCTCCGCGGCGTGCGCCTCCTCCTCCTGCCTCCGCCCGCCGCTCCCCTCGCCGGTGGAGCTCGGGCTTCCTGCCGGCGCTGCTCGGCGAGGCGAGCGCGTCGATCGGCCGGATGGCGATGGGGGGGGATCAGGACATGGGGGGATGAGTACTCCAGATCTCGTAATAAAAGGGAGGGGGTCTGGACCCTCCCAGACAAGCCATTTCAGACCCCCCCCGGTGGGAGAACCCTCCAAAGCATCGTCCCCAGACCCCCCGGGCCCTCCAAGATAGCCTGGAGGAGACCCCCCCGAAATGAGACCCCCCTCTCTTTATTACGAAATCTGGAGTATCCGGTACCGTTTTGTTGGGGTACAATTTGTACCTTCTCTGCGGGCTGCAAGGTATAATTCGTACCCTCTCCCCCCCCGTTGACATCCTCGCACACGTCGCGGACGTTGTCAAAAGTACAATCAATTTGTACCGTGTCTGGGTGGCGCCGGTAAAAATTGTACCTTCTCCGTGGGGCGTAGGCACAATTTGTACCTCGGTTGCGCCTCTCTCCCCATCTGGACTTACCCCCCCATTTGCATCCCGCCAAGAGACGAGCGCGTCGAGGATCTCGGCGGTCTGGCTCTAAGTCGGGCCTGTCCCTCTACAGGCGGAACATTCAACATAGTCAGAACATGGTCTGGAGACGATCTGTGTTATAAATCATGTTTGACCATGTTGGAATATGTTTCTGCTATTGTTTATGCTTCGTCCAAGATCCGCCTGTAGGGGGACACGCACGACCTAACGCTGGTCCCGGGGAGCGAACCCGGGACGAAGGCCTCGTTTCCCTTGGGGTCCATGTCTCTCTGGCTTGGGCGAGGTTCGATGGTCCTCCTCTTCCTCCTTTCCTGGTACGTTGAGTAAATACAAGCGACGAGGCTGTTGCGTGCATCCCCTACCAGAAGTCGGGGAGCGCACGAGCAGATGGTGATCATCAAACTCACCAGCATGCCGACTAAGCGGCGCAGAGGGCACGAAGAGACACGGAGAAGTCCAGGAGCCCTCGAGGGCAGGGGGGATTAGATCTGCAGGCGTCGGCAAGGCAGTCCCCTCCCACCCCGTCCGGCTCCAGGGTCCGATCCCTTCCGCGACGAGGGCCCTCACCGAGGGCAGCTCTGACCCTCACCGAAGGCAGAGGGCAGCCGCTTTGCAAGATGCCCTCACCGAGGGACTCGATGACATGATTACTGAGTGCGATGTGCCTTCACCTCCACGTCCAGCCAACCCTTCTGCCCTCTCCGAGCGTCTGGCGGTCGATCCGCTCGTGGCGGTTGTCTCGCACGGTTCATCTCACTCTCCAGCTGGGAAGAGCTGGGACTACTGACAAACACGATAGCGGCGAACCTGCAGGGTGCAGAAGTTGCGGGATCCTGCTCTCATCGAGGATCTTGCTGGCGCTCCTCCCCCACCAACTCACCACCTCAGCCCTCTGTCCCCCAACCTAGAGGAGGAGGAGGAGGAGGAGGAGGAGGAGGAGGAGGAGGAGGAGGAGGAGGGGGAGGAGGAGGAGGGAGGAGGGAGGAGAGACGAGGGAGGAGGAGGAGGCCCCCTTACAGGCCCTGCTGCCCTCATCGAGCGCCCGGCGGTCGACACGCTTGAGGCGGTCGTCTCGCTCGGTTCATCTCACTCTCCAACCGCCACGGCTGGGGCTACTCAAATCGAACGCTCGCTGCTAGCCTGCAGGTGCTGAAGTTGCGACGTCTGCCCTCCGAGGGTCTTGCTGGCGCTCCTCCTCCAGGAAGGGTCCCTCCTCAGCCCTATTGCCCTCGCCGAAGGCCCTGGCGGTCAACACGCTCGCAGCGGTCCACTCCCTCGGATGTTGCCGTCCACCAGGCGACGGGCAACGCTGGCGATTTGAACCTAGACCCTGGCGGCCATCAGACGGTGCCAGAGTCAGCCCTTGCCGAAGGTCTTCCGCCAGCCCCTCCTTCGGAGCTCCCCTCCACAGCAGCAGGTGCCGGAAACCGCGAAGCTGGGCCGGCATAGAGCGTCCCTGATTCTGCGATCGTCTGTACTAGTGAGCCGATCTTCTCGAGAAGGCCAGTGCGGGGCCAATCCTCACCACTCCTCAAACTCCTCCGCCGCCGCCACCTCCTGCTTAACAAGTGGTTCTGGTGGCGTAAGCGTGGACCTGCTGGCGGAAACGTTAGCCTCGCCCCTGGCGCACTTTCCGCGCGCCGTCCGGCGCAGATCCAAGAGATCCGCGCGGAGCGCCAACAATCAGGAGGGAAAAAAGCACAGACACCATTAATCGTCGATTCCCCAGAAAATATTTGAACATATGGGAAATGGGGGGAAGACGAACACTCAAAACATCTGGAAAATATGGGGAATTGTTTTATTTGTGTGTATTTATGTGTGTGTGTGTGTCCTGGGGCCCCTTCAAATAAGTTTATGTCTGTGCCGGTCTTCCTTCTTCTACACACTGCATGCCGTCTAGCTCACGCAATGCAGTCCCGAGTTGGTGCCCGATGGCGTTTGTCCAGCGGAGCGTTCTCGGACTCTCAGGAGTGGTGCTCTCGTGGCAGCCGTCTCCTCATCTCATGATCGGCGTGTTGCGCTCTCGCCTTGGCCCGACTCATTCCACGCCGTCGGCGCCCCCCTCTTTTCCTCTCCTCCACCTTCCCCTGGTATTTTTGCTAGTCCCCTGGTATTTTTGCTTGTCCCGCTCCTCCTCAGCCTGGTGTTGCTGTTGCTCCTTCTCATGCTTCCTCGGTATCCTCGTCTCCTCATTGGTCATCCACCTCTCATCCAATGTACATCGCCCCCTGTGCTGATTGCGCATCACACGGTGGGGCCATTTGTGTGATCAAGGTTCTCTGGGACATCCGAGTTGTCGGATGAGGGAGAAATCAGCGCAATGGGAATGGATGGGCAGGAGGGTAATGGCTCATGCCAGATATGGCGCGAGCGCAACCAGCTTGCCTCAATTCCCCTCTATCCTGCCATCTCCGCCTCCCTCTCCCTTCTTCTCCCTCTGCTCATCCCCTCTGCTCCCACCCTCCCGCCTTCCCTCCCTCGAGCGTTTCCCTTCAATCTCCCTCTCCTCCTTTTCCACTTACATGTTGCTCCCCATTCCCCTCCCAGCCCCCTCTCCGTTCTCTCCTTTCTCTCCTTCCCGTCATCCCATCCTCCCCTTCCCCCCCTTCTCTGTAAGGGCTCAACGATTACTCGACATTAGAACTACTTCCCCATCCACCTTGAAGATGGCCAGGGAGTAGTAGCCCGTCTCCTCAACATGGCCCTGGGGCTGTCGCTCAGAATGGCGCTGTCGACCCAGCGCGGGCCACTTTTCTGCACCCCTAATTCGGTGCACGCGCCTGAGCAGGGCACGGCGCCGCCGAGGCGCTTGACCTTTCGCTTTGCGCGCGCGTCGCACTTTTCTGCATCCATGTCGTTCCGCACAGTGGTCCCCCGCCTTTCCTCTCCTCCGCCTTTCCTTGGCTCGCCCGCTACTCCCGCTCCCCTTCCGCTCCAGTGCCCTCTGCTGCTGTTCGATATCGTCTGGCTCCCATCCTCGTGGTTTTCCTTCTCCTCCTTCTCCTTCCTCTGTCCCCTTCCTCCTGTTCGTTTTGTTCTTCTCCGGTTGCGCATGGCACGATAGGGATCTGTCTGGCACGCCCGAGGATCGAGAAAGCGCAATGAGAAGGGATGGGTGTGAGTGGTAGGATGTCAGATGTGGCGCGAGCGCACCTAGCTTGACACTGTTGTTTTCAAGTGGGGCAGTCCTCGGTTTGGAACTGGTGCTCCCGCTACTGCGTTGGCCTCATTTTCGGATCGGCTCTGTGCTCCGGGTCCTGCTCATCGTTGTCCCGTTTGCTCCTTTCGCCTCCTCTTGGTCCTCATGCTATTCCCGCCCCTTCCTCTCCAGCTTTTGCCGCTGCTGGTAGACGTCGTCCTCTTCGTTCCTCATCTTCGAAGAACACAACGTTGCCTTTGTTTGAATTTCCAGGTTCGCTGTGACACGCGCCGGCGTATAAATAACATATCCGCGCAATGGGAAGGGATGGGTGGGAGTGGAAGGATGTCAGATTTGGCGCGAGCGCTGCCAGAGTGCATTCCCCCATCTCCATAACCCTACCTTCTCTTATCCCCCTGTCCTTTCCTGTTCATTTCCCAGTTCTTGTCACCCGCCTCCAATTTTTCCTCATCGATCCCCCCCTCCTCCTTTCTCCTCCCCATCCCCCACCCCGCCAGCCGGCAGGCGCTGGGGGGACGGCGTGCTCCCGAGATGTGATGGCGGCCGGCCGCGCTTGGACGGTGGTGGTCCGCCTGCGGGCTGGGATCTTCCAGCTCTCCTCTTGCTTCGGTGGGGCTGACGGGATATCATCCGACGGGAAGGGGGCTTGGGCTCAGACCACAGGCTCAGCGACCGCAGCGCAGAGACCGGGCGCAGTGGACTTCGCCCTGGCTCTCGGGCCAGCCTTCGCCAGGCAGCTCCGCCGACTGGAGTGGGGGCGCGTTGCTTGCGGGGGTCCAAATCAAGCCTGCCCGTGCTCCCTTGTGTGCATTGTTTAAGCGATCCCCATCCTCACTGGCACGGCTTTGGCCCCACTGGCCGATCCGCACCCCCTTAGCTGGGGACATGGGCTGCTCCCTTCCGGTTTCGAGGGGCATCTCCTCAAAGGAGATGGGGTGGGATGGTGGGGCCAAGATGCCATGGCCTGGTGGGGATGGGGATCGGCTCGGCCACGCGCAGAGGGAGGTACGGGGAGGGGGGGAAGGCCTCTCAGGAGCATCCCTGCTCGTTAGGGGGCGCGGGCCATGTATACGTTATTATATACATGTAGAGCCGGCGCCCTCCAAGAAGCAGCCTCCTTCTGAGAAGCCTTCCCCCCCTCCCCCCTATACCCGCAGCCCGCCGCCAAGGGGTCGAACGATGTTGATCCTGCCGCTGTTCCGTGCCCGCCCGGACGCCTGGAGGGTTTCTCCGAAGGGCTTAGGCGACCCGTCCTCCTCCCCCTCCCCCTCTTCCTTCTCTTCCTCCTCCTCCTCATCATCACCATCATCATCGTAATCATCCTCATCCTCCTCATCCTCCTCCTTCTCCTCCCCCTCCCCCTCCTCCTCCTCCTCCTCCCCCTCCTCCTCCTCCTCCTCCTCCTACTACTCCTACTCCAGCTCCTACTCCTACTCCTACTCCTACTCCTACTCCTACTCCCTCCCTCCTCCTCCTCCTCCTCCTCTTCCTCCTCCTCCTCCTCCTCCTCCTCCTCCTCCTCCTCCTCCTCGGGTCGCCTACGGCCCCAGGGGGAAACCCTGCAGGGACGCCTCCCGCTCCGGCGGTCAGCTCGCGACCCGCCTTGGCCTCCCAGGGCGCTGCTGCGGCTCCTCGTCCTGCTCCTCCCACGTCCGGCTTCTTCCCCCCGCCTCCTCGCGTTGCGAGACAGAATCCGCGACGGCAATTTTTTTGAGGGAGGGGGAGGAGGGGGGCAACTAATCGTCGGCCCAGTGAGGGCCCCCACCAGGCCCCTCGACAGTCAAACAACGAGTCGGGCTGAGAAGCCAGTCCTGGGGAAGGGGTGCAGGTGTCTGGACGTCCACGTTGAGAAAAAAACACCGGCGTTGCGCAATGGGGGGATGCGATTATGTTTCCCAGGGGGTAATTACCCTTGCATCTTTGCCTCTTCTGCCGATTTGAGGACAGCTCAAAAATGGCTCCAATCTGGGCGTCCTAGGGGCTTTGCATCCTGATCGCGCCCACTGATGCATTATCAGGGGCCGTGTTCAGGATCCGGAAAGAGCATACAGTGGAAACCAATGCCAAGAAACACCATGCTTGCCTCCAGGGCGCCCTGGGTATCTTGGGTTCCGATGGTTTTGCCATGGAGAGCTTGACGTTCTCATGCCAAAATCAATGGACGGCCTGGGATCTCAGGGTGGGGGCTCTTGTGGAAGGTTGTTTGTGGTCGAGCCTCTACTGCAATGTCATCCGCGGCGAAACGCTGTCCCAGGGGAGGGCGCCCAGAGCTCTGGGGACGCACACGCACACACACATACACACACACATTCACACACACACACACACATCGGATGTCAGGGTCCCACCGAAGGGCACCCAAACCCAAGGCGGAAGGGGGAAGGATCAGACGGGGCCAGGACGAGGATACATCCGCTCCAGAGCTCAGAGGAGGAAAAGCTACCTATACCGCTACCCTTCGCCCGTCGTACCCTTCTTGGACATCCTGGTAGGCCCTCGTCGCCACCGCTGGATTGAACTCGAAGTCCTTGTCAGCAAGCACCCCAGGAGAGGTCCGGGGAGTAGCAGTATTGGTACCTCTTGGTTTCCCCAAGAGCGTTCCAGAACGCTCTGAGAAGGCCGCCCCTGAGACATTTGGATCTCCGAGATTCTCGATTAGGCCTCACCCGATGTCCTCGTTTTGGCTTCGTTGTGAAGGAGGGAGGAGGAAAGAGGTGGACCACCTGAGCGACGCAGAAAGACGGGCTTGACTGCGCGAACAGCCGCGGGCAAGCTGCCCGCGCAATGTCACGCGTGAGTGCCCTCTTTTCGAGTGTACTTAGCTTGTCGCGCCGGCGGCCCGCATAATCCGCCGCACAAGGTGGGTGGCATCGAGCGGAATGCCCGTTTGTTTTCGTAGCTCTATTTTCAGGAGGAAGAATCACACAGACACAACTCATCGTCGACTCCCTGGCAAATATGGTAAAAGATATTGGGAGTGGGGGGGACGACGACAGCCCAGGAAATGTAGTAGCATGTGGGCACTCCTGGGACTTGTGCCCGTTTATCTGTGTGTCCCTGGGCCCCGTTGTACTTGAGGTGGGCCTGCTGGACTTCTCGGCTCCTGCGAGGGGAGGGCGGCTGGGCGGCCGGCACGCCCCGGGCGAGGTCGTCTCCTCGGCCGCGTCCACCCCGGTTGTCGCCGCGTGGCGCCAGTGCCAGGCGGGGCGGGGCCGCCGGGAGGTTTCCCCTCGCGGCCCTCGCCATTGTCGCCAGCGTCTTCCTCCTCCTCCTCCTCCTCCATCTCCTCCTCCTCCTCCGCCTCCTCCTCCGCCTCCGCCTCCTCCTTCGCCTCCTCCTCCTCCTCCGCCTCCGCCTCCTCCGCCTCCTCCGCCGCCTCATCACGAAGAAGAAACAGCGCCATAATCATAAGCTGTTGGCGCACCGCTCGGATTTCTTGGAGCCGCGCTAGGCCCCTCCGGCGGCGCCTCCGGCGCCGCCCCTGGCGAGCTCCGCGCGCCAGGGAGGGGGGTGCAGATCCAAGAATTCCGGCGGAGCGCCAACAGTTTATATTTATGCCGTGTTTTTCGTCTTCTAGCGTCGCCCTCGCCACCGTCGCCATCGCGCTCCTCCTCCTCCTTGTCTTCATCCTTGCGACCTCTTCTCCTTCGTCTTCTTCGTCAAGGTTACGAGGAGGCTCCTCCCCATCGCCTCTGCGGGGGCCGATGTGTATACCATGTCGTCGGGCCCGCCAATGAGCCAAAGCACTCGGCGAAGGAATTCGGCTCCCATAGGTAGGGAAGCTGGGCCGACCAGACGACGTGGTGTATAGCTCGAGCCCCTCCCATCGTCGCCACCACTGCCGTCGTTGTCCCCCTCAATTCTTCCTGCGTTGACGAACCCACAGGCTGACATCCAAAAGGATGCTGCTTTAGGAGCGGGCGAGAGGACGCACACGTCAGCGAGTGTTCTCCGCCAGTTCCCGCTTTCGGGCGCAGCAGGCTCCCTCACCCAGAGCAGGTCGAACAAGAAAATTGCAGAACTAAGTCAATGTGCTAAATTTCGGAGGTCCGCGTGGACTTTCTTGGCGGGTATTGCAGCCCCTGGCCACGCCTCTGGCGCCGGCCCTTGCGCGCTCCGCGTGCTAAGGAGGGGGTCCAGCGCCGATTCCATAGATCAGAGCGGACCTCCGAAAGTTTATGTTTGCAGTGTTTGTTACCACTGTTGTATTCAGGCGCAGCTGGCGCTCTCACCCGGTGCGAGAATTGCCCCCATTGTTTGCGTCGATGTCTCCCACGTCTTCGCCTTCGTCCTCTCCCCCTACTGCCTCTCGAAGCACGCGCTTCTTATTTTTCTCATGTGTTGTTATATCACTTGTGTTTTTTTTTTGTTTTCTCTGAGTATGACTGTTATTCGTGCTCGTTCTTCGTGCCTCTTTTAGTCTTCATGATCTTCTTCGTATCCTCCTCCTCCCCCTCATCCTCATCCTCTCAGGAGGGGAAAAAACGCACAGACACAATGAATCGTCGATTCCCCAGAAAATATGGGAAAATTTGGGAAGTGGGGAAGAAGACCGAAAACTCAGAAAATATGGGAACATATGGGGAATCCTGTTATTTGTGTGTATTTATGTGTGTGTCCCAGGGCCCCTTCCTTTCCCCCGCCCACAGCCCGCGGGCTTGCTTCAGGCCGCTGTCGCATCTTCCTTCGCCTCCGCCACCGCGTCTTCGCCGTCTGTTGTGCTCCTCGTCCACCTCGCCTGCTCGGGCCAGGCCTCCTTCTGCCCCGCCCCTCCGTTATGCCCTTCCTCCTCATGTTCGGCCCACGTCCTCTGCCTCCTCCCTCTTCCTCTTTCCTCCTCCCTCCTCCCTCCTCCTTCCTCCTCCCTCCTTCTCCCTCCTCATTCGTCCCTCCCACCCCCACGCCTTTTTCCTCGTCCCTCCCTCATCCCGTTCTGCTTCTCGTCATCGCAATCAGCATATTCCCACCATCTCCTCTGTCCGTTTCTTGTCCTCCCTCCTCACTCTCCTCCTCCCTACCTCCTCTCCTTCGCTCCTCCGCCGTCACCTCCTCCTCTCCTCCCCAGCTTCCCTCGCTCGGGGCGGTCTCAGCCCCGCGGGGCATCAATGTTGTTGCGAGATGGTCCAACTGATGAGCCCTCTTTCTTCCAGATTACCAGACTCGCCGTCGGTCGTCCGAGATTGTCTGAGATTGTCCGCGATTCCGAGACTTCTTGTCCAATTTGTTCCGGGACTGCCCAATTGGTTGTCGGTCGGCGAAAGTTTGTATTTTGGGATGCCCGAGTCCCAATCTGCTTTAGGCGCCGTCCCAATTCAGGAGTCCAATTCAGGAGTCGAGTGGGGTTCCCTCTTCCCTCCTCTTCAGGGGGCGGGCGGAAGCCCAATCTCCTTTCGACGCCTTCCTACTCCATGTCCCTTCCCACTTCTTCCGACCGACTGGTATCCTCCCTCAGTGCTCCGCCCTTCCTCCCTCCGTTCCCACGGTGTGATTCGGGGCATTCACCGAAAGCAACCCTCCTCCAGGAAAACTCGGGACCCGTGCTTGGCAGTTGATTGCCAAAGGCCGCTACTCCAAACGCGAAGAGATTGCAGCCGTAACATTTCGTCCTACCGTCGAGTGTAGGAGTCCCATGGGAGGGACTTAGCACTTGACTTGGTGGTGCCGGGTGCTGGGTGCACTGGTGGTGCCGGGTGTCGGGTGCAGTGCCTTCTGCTCTCTAGCACCGTTCTTTGAAGATGTGGCAGTCGTAATTTCTATTTCAGTTCCTTTTCACTCGTCCTTCGAACCTTGTCCACAACCTGTCCAGTTTCTTCACGCTCAGAGATTCGGCAAGTGACAATGTTCGATGGAGACGACCTTGACCTCTCACCACAGCCTTATCAGCCTCGAGAGTTCCTTGCCCCACTTTTGTGGGGCCGATGCTACACAGCTATTCCGAACAGCTTCACGAGTAATTATCGAATGGGCGCGCAGTCATCCAGCGCTCCCACGCCATGTTCTGTGGCACAGGAGTTCTGTCCAGTATAGAGCGGTTGCCCAGCCCGACCGACGTCCACAATCTTAACAACAAACAGAAGAGTCGATTTGAAGCACCTCCACGCTGGAGCTAGAGAGACTGGGCCACGGCACCCAGGCTCTGTTATTAGTTGACCCACCACGTGCGGCCTAGATCCGCATTGCCCCCAGGCCATAGGCATCATCGGACTACCGTGCTCTGCAGGCTGGTGGCTCCAGGCAATTGGGTCCACTGACGGGTTGAGGCGCCTGAGCGCCATATTACCTCAAGTTCTCCTCCTATTCCTCCTCCGATCTTTGTATAATCCGAGTCTGGGGCATACGTCCTCCTCGCCGAGAGCTCCCGGGGGCCGCTCTGATGCCACATAACTCTTCCATCCCTCCCATGGGATGATGGCTGGTCGAGAACTGCCAGCCCGCGTTGTTGGACAAGATGTGCCACTGAGTCCAGAAAACTGGGCTAGACATCGCTCGCGTCAGGCCATTCTTATGCTTGGCCTTCTTGTTCCGTCAGGACACGCCCTCCAGGGTGGTGGCACCAGGAAGCTGGGCCCACTAATGGAGCTGAGGTTCCCCAGAGCCATATTACCTCAAGTCCTCCCTCCTCCTTCCTCCCCCTCCTCCCCTTGGTCCTCCTCTCTCTCTGCCCTCCCTCCCTACCCCTTCTACCCTGAGATCCGACGCTGCAGAAGCAGACACAGCACCGCAGAAGAGCATGGCCAGAGCCCCCGGACCCCATCTCTCCACGTCGTCTCTCGGACCGGCTCGGTCTATGGGAGCGCCCGACGCCCGAGGCAAGGGTGAAAGAGCGCCCGGGGTGCAGAGCTGTAGCGCCAGAGTCTCAGCCCAGCTCTCTCCTCCTCTTCCTCCTCCTCCTCCTCCTCCTCCTCCTCTTCCTCCTCCTCCTTCTGGTGCCCTCTCCAGAGTCTCAGCCCAGCTCTTGCCCGCCCACCCCGCGTGGACGGCCCCCCCCCCCCCTGGGCTGGCCAGGTGGGCCCGATCGGGTCGTGCTCCATGCTCGGCTGCAACCACAGCGCGAAGAGCCCCGCGGGGGGTCGCACATGGCCCGCGCCGCTCTCCTCGGAGCCCTCGTCGTCCTCCTGCTCTTCCTCTTCGTCCTCCTCTCCCTCCTCCCAGTTCCACCTCTTCATCTTCTCCCACTTCCTCCTCTCCGTCCTTTCCTCCTCCTCCTCTCCCCCGTTCCTCCTCCTCTTCCTCTTCCTCCTCATCATCGTCCTTCATCCTCATCCCTTCCCCTTTCTCTTTCTCCTCCTTCTCCTCTTCCTCCTCTTCCTCCTCCTCCTCCTCCTCTTGCTTCTCCTCCTCCTCTGGTCCTCGTTGTCCTTCTCATCCCTCCTCCTTCTACCTTCCCCACCTCGTCCTCGTTCCTCCTTCCTCCCCTCCCCTCTCCTACCTCCTACCTCCCTCGTCCTCCTCCCTCCCGATGCTCCCCCTCCCTCCTCGTCGGCCTCCTCCTCGTCAGGCTCCTCCGTCGGGCTCGATCGAGGCTCGAGGTTTTGCTGGTCCACCGCATCTTGCCCTCCTCGCCCGCTGGAGGCACCCTCAGAGACCTCGCGGGCGGCCTCCGCAGAGACCCCACCCCCCAGTCCTCGGCGGGGGCACGTCGGCCCCTGGCCCTTCGCCACGAGGGGAGCTCCTTCATGGAGGAGCAGGAGGGGGGAGTTTAGACGAGGAGCAGGAGGAGGATGGCAGGAGGAGGGGGAGGAGGGGGGAGAGCAGGAGGAGGAGGAGGAGGAGGAGGAGGAGGAGCAGGAGCAGGACAGGGAGGAGGGGGGGGGAAGAGCGGATGGTAGGAGGAGGTGGAGGTGGAGGAGGATTAGGGAGGGTTTTCCCCCGTTCCTGCACTCGAGCGAGGAAGACCGCCAGGAACAGTTGGCGCTTGCTAGGTGGTACTGGGCGCTTGCGCTCTTCGACTCCCTCCCGAGGCGCGATTGCTAAGCGGACTCGCTTGTCAGGATGCTCACGACGAGGGCGGTTATACGACGAGGGCGGCTGTCCTGCATTCTGCTTGCTGTTCCCTGTCCCTCAGGACAGAGGTCCGGAGGGAAACGGGTCCCCCGCTTTCGGGAGCCTTGAGACGGGGGTCAATGCAAATGGGGGCCAGCCAGGGCACCAGATCCTGCAGGATCCTGCGAAGACCCCCTCTGGCTGACCTGGGTTAGCGAGCCGCTCGTGGCCGCGAGGCGGCCGCGCCTATTGGCTGACCCAGGTTTGCGAAGACCTGCGTTGCAGTTTGTTTTGTTATTGCATTGCAGTTTTTTTAGTTTCTTGCTGACCCGGGTCTGGATTGACCCGGGTCAGAAGATCGCCGAGAGTCGTCGTCCCCGCTTTCAGGCCCGAGGGACCTCCCTGAAGGCCCAGTACCGGTCCGTCGAAGAACGACTCGGGATGAAGAGTTGGTCCTGGAGAGCGCCCCCGGGGTCCAGGGCCAGGGCCCTTTCCCGGCAGGCTCCGACCCCTTCAGGCCAACAGTTCCCGCCGAGAGGCAGGATTTCGCTCCGATGTGGGCCTCCCGGCTGGCTATGCTCCCGCGAAGGTACGCATCGTTTGCGTTTCGCGGGCAGGGGTCAGGCTAAGCTTTATCATCATACCTACCGGTGTGATCTCGCACTGCTTTATTTCCGACCGTGCGCTCTGCTGGTGGTCCTGCTGGTGGTCGTGCTGGTGGTCCTGCTGGTGGTCCTGCTGGTGGTTGTGCTGGTGGTTGTGCTGGTGGCTGTGCTGGTGGTTATGCTGGTGGTCGTGCTTGTGGAGGTGCTGGTGGCCGTGCTGGTGGCTGGTCGTGCTGGTGGTCGTGCAGCTTCCGTTCTGCGTTCTGGTTGCCGTTGAGGTTTCTACCAGTGGTTTTACCTTTTAGACTTCCAGCGGCCTTTGGAGGAGAAGGGCGGCGACAACGACGGCGATCAGGATAATCAGGAGGGCAGCCGAGCAGAAATAGTGAGCTTCTCGGAAGACGCACAAGAGGAGGACTAAATTGTGCCCCTCGTCGGTTCCAGACTCATCCCCTCGTTGGGCCCCCTTGGGGCACTCTTGGGGTTCTAGGTGTGTTCTTGCCAGTCTCTGGGGCTGTCTTGGGGCCCTTCTTGGGGCTCTCTTGGGCCATCGTGGAGCCATATTCATGATGTCTCAGGCGCCAACTGGTGGGTCTCGGGATGTATCATTGGGAGGCTCCTTGGCCACTTCGAGCGGTCGTTGGGCATCTCGGGGTTCTGCTGGAGATCATCCTGGTTAAATTCGGACCACATTGCGCCATCTCTGAAGCAATCTTGACCTTGTGTACGGTAGGTTCGCGTCGTATCGACCGGCGGCGACCCCGCCGCCGCCGGCGTTCAACGTTGAACGCCGCTGGCCACCCAGGATCGATCGATGTTGAAGGATCTGACGTTGCGGACACGGCCGATCGTTCAAGTTTGAACGATTCCGCGGTGTCAGAGACCAACGCCAGGGTCGGCACGACACGAACTTGCCGAAACTGGGCCCATCGTGGAAGCACACAGGGCCTTCTTGCGCGCCACGACCCCTAGTGGGGGGGGGCCCAGTTCCCAGGGAGGGTGGGAGGGGGATGCATCAGTTTGCTTCGAGCGATCCCCACCGAAACTTCGGCGTTTGATCCCAAAGGTGCACGCGCTCATTGGAACGATGTGCGCGGGGCGCGGTGGTCTCGGCCAGTGCGGCGGTCGGGCCATGTCGCAAGTTGCCGTTCTCCTGAATTCTGCTCTCGCATACCATGATATAGTATGCGGTATAATGCTATGGGGTTATGACGTATTACGACATGCCTTGATATACTGTGTTTGCCGCGCTCTGTCATGGTATGACGTGTTATGTTATGGACTGATCGGTGCTGTGATGCTGTGCTACGACGTGATCTGTTCTGTCAAAAGTATGTTATGAGACGATATGTGTTTGCCATGGTGTGTCAGTTTATGCCATGGTATGTTGTGCTGTGAGGCGTGGTGTTATGCTATGTTCTGTGTGACCAATTCTGTCACAGCTTATGGTATCATACTATTCTAAACTGTGCTACGAAATTAGCATATGATGCCGCGCTTTATCATGGTATGGTTTGCCATGGCATGTAATGCTGTGTGCTGTGATGATCTGTTACACACATATATATAGAGAGAGTACCATGTTGTTATGCTGCGTTTTGTTATGAAATGTTAGATCTGCCATGCTACGTGATGATGTGGCATCTTGGTTTGCTGTGTTCAGTTGTATGTTGAGGTGTTATGGTTTGCTTGCTGTTGTCATGCTATGGAACAATATGTGCTGTGATGATGTGCTATCGCACGCGCTGCTCTCCCATGGTGTGTTAGGTTACGAGATGGTCCGTCTGTCATGATATGGTGTGTTATGTTCGGACATGTTCTGTCTGGTGGTGTGGCGTCTTGCTCTGTACTGTGGGGCACCTGGGGATCTGGCGGCCGCGTTATGCAGAGTGTGCGAGTCGGTGCGGGGGGCGGGACCGACAGGGGTCATCGGGAGCCTGGGGCTCTGGCAGCCGCGGTATGCGGGGCAGGGGCTGGGCAGGACCGCCAGGGAATGTCGGGAGCCTGGGGGTCTGGCGGCTGCAGAGTGCAGGGCGGGGGCGGCGGGACCACCAGAGATCATCGGGAGCCTGGGGATCTGCGGCCGCGGTATGCAGGGCGGGCGGGCCGGGAGGTCTGCTCTTAAGTCTAACGACCCCAACTTGTGGTGCGGAAAAGGGCATCTTGAGAAAGCAGGCGCGAGTCTCGAGTTCGATCTGGTCACGAGTTTGCTCCTGCAGATTTATGCTGCAGTTTCGGCCTCACCGCTGCAGCTGGTTGTGAGGCGCCGTTGATGGCAGGAACAAGCCAAGCTGCCGTCGCCCAGAGGGCTGGTGGAAGTTCTCTCAAGACGAGTGTGCTCAGTGCCGAGGGCGCGAGCCGCAGATAGAAAACGACCTGCCACCCATCCGAGCAGGTGAGACGATCTTCGCGTGGGGCTGAGTCGCGAGGTACACTCAGAGCAGTGGCACCTATCCGCCAGTGTAATTGTTGGAAATGCAGGTCCGTAGATCGGTGCGCTTGGACGCAGTGTTCGTTCGAGGTGGTGCGATCATAGTGACCATCACCACCAGTTTGGTTACAACTTCAAACACAACTATTGCCATAGGCATCATCGGCATCGTCAGCTCCGTCTGTATCACCGGCTCCATCGCCAGCTCGTCAGTCTTTGCTCTCATCATCGACACGTTCACCGTCGTAATTTGTTCCCATGTTTGCCAGCAAGTGCGGAGCATGGCAAGACTATAGACCAACACCACCGCCTTGATCGAAGGGGATGGGGGGCAGGCCAGTTGCTTGTTGTTTCTTGTTGTGCTTGTCAACCAGCGTGGCGCTCCGTGGTTCGGAAGCCGCATAGCCTTCGGCATGGCTGCTTTCCGCGCGGCCCGCGAGGAACCAGGGGCCCACGGAGTGCGTAGGCGACAAGTGCATGTGTGTCGACGGCTACTGCGACGCAGGGACCAAGACACACAGGTTGCGCCCCTGCTTCTTATGTTTGTAAGCATCACAATTGCTGTCATAGAGGTGCGTTGCCTTTTATGTTGGCACTCTTCCGTATTATTTCTAGCAGTGTGTTTTGATGACGCCCCACGGACCCATTGATGCCTCATGGAACCGCCGAAGGACCTCATAAGACCTGCAACCTGTCTCCTCCACCTGAGAGTGGTCCTATTAGTCAAATCCCCACTCTGCGCGCTACGCGTTTACTCTTTGGCCTCGTTCCTTATCTTCTGACTGCACCATCCTCGCGCCCTGTTTCTCCTCTTCCTCCTCCTCTTCCTCCACGAACACCTGTTGTATCGTGGAGCCTCTTCCCATCGGGTGGGAGGCTGCACTGTCCACGGGCACAGTCGCAATTTCCTCCCCCGATCTCCCGTCTCGTCCCCCTCCCTTCCTACTGAGGCCCACGCGTATTTCTTGGATCGGCGCCGGACCTCCCTCCCTGGCGCGCGGAACGCGCTAGGGGCGGTGCTGGAGGCGCCGCCAAGGGCTTCCAGCCTCGATCCGACCAATCCGCGCGGACCTGCGAAAGTCTAATTACTGTTTGTTGCCACAACTCAAGAGGCTTATGCCATTCCGCCGACACCCCAGACGGAGCGAGTGTTTGCGGCGATCTTGCAAGCTATCTGGTGCGTCAGGGGCTTCTTGATGCATTTGATCGGGCTCGTGGGATGTCTCCCAGGGGCCTCTTGGAGGGCTCTTGGGAGCATCTGAGGGGCCCTTTGGGCCTTCTTTGGGGCCTCTTGGTGGCTTCTTGGGGACCCATGTTCATGCCACTACTGTGACGGCCTTGCGGCCGGTGCCGCCGAGCCCGAAGACGACGATGACGAGCACGAGGAGGAGGAGGAGGAGGAGGAGGGGGAGGAGGAGCAGGAGGAGGAGGCGGAGGACGCGGCGGGCCCATGGACAGGAGGGCCCAGGGAAAGGAGCCGGCAGAGACGGCGCCTCGCGAGCGACGAAGAGGACGGCCCGAGCGGACGAGCCCCCGACGCGCGCCGGCCAGGGCCGGCGGCTGTGCTCCCCGACGCGCCCGAGTGCCGCGGGATCCCCGTCGGCAGCCCTCGTCGGCTCGGAGACTGGCGCAGCAGGACGGGGCCTGGGTTTCCAGGCATGTCGCGCGCTCATGCGGCGAGGGCGGGCCCCGCCGGGAGCGGCGCGGGGGCCGCCGGGGGGGCAGGGCCGGGCTTGTTTCGGCCCCTGTCCGCCTCGGTGCGGTTCGAGCTTGGTCGATCCCGCTTCTCGACTAGACGTCAGAGTGACCCTTCGCCGGAGTGAGTGACCCTTGGTGCGGGCTCATCGGGCTCCCCCCGATCGCCGAGCACGATGCGACATAAGCGGCCCGCGCCCTTGGGTTTGGCTCCCCCGCGCCCCCAGACGCTGCGCACCAAAGGTCGCTCTTACCCAGGGTCACTCTTACGTCTAGCCGATCTTCCCGATGCAGTTCGACATGGGATTCCGCCCCGCATCCCGTTTTTTTTTTTTTTTTTTTTTTTTTTTTTTTTTTTTTTTTTTTTTTTTTTTTTTTTTTTTTTTTTTTTTTTTTTTTTTTTTTTTTTTTTTTCTACGGAGGGCTCATTGGCCTGCCGATTCCCGCCGAGTCGACCTCTCCCGGCTCGGCTGCCGATGTCCGCCGATCCCAGTCGTTTCGTTCGCCGATCCGAGTTGGCGATTCGACTCTGGGCTCTCCTGCCAGCAGCCGCAGCAGCCTTGCGGCCGCCGCCGCCAAGCGCCGAGCGCCCTCGCGGTCCGCGGCCCCAGCTGCGCCCGCGCCCCGCGGGCTTCCCAGAGACCCGAGGCCCCGGCGAAATCAGAGCAGCCAGCTGTGGACAAGTCTCGGCCTCCGGGGGCCCTCAACGGGCCCCGGGGCCGTCAAACGACGACGCCGGCCCTGGGGAATCAGTGTCGTAACCGACGCCTGTCCCCATCCCCATCCCCGTGTGTTCTTATTCGTTGTTTTGCCTATCGGCGCGGGCCCTCGCCCCCCCCCCCGCTATGGAATAGATCTTAGCTGTTTTTTTGGCACTCGTTTCGGGCGAGTGGAGTCTCCCCCTGGGGCGGCAGCACTTGCGAACAGTAGCATTAAGCAGAGCGCCGGAGCCAGACCCCCCCCCCATCCCCCCCCTTCTCCGCCCAATGTCGAAACGCCGAAAAAACAAAAAAAACGCTCGCTTGACCGCACCCAGCCCCCATGGAATCCCCGCCCCCATCCAGACCCGTCTCACCCCACCACCGCAGTTGGGGATGAACCCCCTCTCGAGACCCGAAGGAATCAGCCTGCACCCCCATCCGGGAGGTGTAGGAATCGGCCAGTGGGTCCCTGGCCACGCCCATGGGAATAGCGGTTGATTAAACGATTCTCAGGAGGTGGTCGTCGTTTTATTCATTGCTTCGCTGATCGGCGCGGGCTCTCGCGCCCCCCCCGCCCCCCCCCCTGGAGTAGATCTTGGCTTTTTTTGGCGCCTGTTTCGAGCAGATGGAGTCCCCCCGCGCGGGGCGCACCGTCGCAAACAGCCGCGCTATGCAAAGGTCCGGAGCCAGATCCCCCCCCCTCCCCCCCCCCCTTTCTCGCCCAATGTCGAGGCGCCAAATAAAAAACGCTCGCGAGGTCGTCCAGGCCCAGGCCCCGGGGGGCCCACGCGTCGAAACGATTGGAACGTCCGACGCCTGGAAACCGCGCCCGCGAGCCGCCGAGCCGCGGCCCCCGCCCGGCCCCAGGCTCGTGCTTCGCGTCGAGGAGGGGGAGGATGAGGAGCACGAGGAGGCGGTGGAGGAGGAGGAGGAGGAGGAGGAGGAGGAGGAGGACGAGGAGGAGGAGGAGGAGGAGGAGGAGGACCAGTGCAAACCCATGAGGGGGAGGAGGAGGAAGAGGAAGAGGAGGAGGAAGAGGAGGACCACTGCAAACCCAAGACGCATCAATGATCATGCAAGAAACCCTCCCTCCAAGCTCCCTCTTCATGGGCTCCTGCACGTCTTCGTGCTCACGGAGGGGAATGCCGTTTTGGAATACAATTGGTAGAATATCCAGGGTGTGGCAGAACGCCATTCTTGGGACGTCAGCGCCGCGAGTCACCGCCATTGCTGCGTATTGACGATCCTGAATCGTGCCAGAACGCCGCTCCTGGGACTCGTAACGTCGCGAATCGACGCGACGGCATCGACGCGACGGCTGCTCCCTGACATCCCGACGTTGCGCCAAAAGACCCTGGGACGTTAACCGTGAGCACCGCTGAAACTCTTGCATTTTGCAAGATCGACGTGCGCAGCGCTGAGACGAGGGCCACATGTCGAAGAGGAGTGCCCTCCGTCCGCGAAGCTCTTGCAAGCTTTTGATACGAATGCGCGCGGCGGCGTTACAGCGACATCTACGTGTACAAGTGGCACGTGCGTGCCCAGGCGCATAAAACATGAGTGAAAGGGGGCGTCTGAAACAGGACAACACCATGACTGCAGGATCGGAAACGGAGAAGGGGAAACTGGGGCGGCGCCGCCGTGGCGTGCCTGAGAGATGGGGAAGAGACAGGAGGTGAACGCAGAAGAGTCTAAGATCGAGGTCGCACTCGAACGCAAGTGGGTTGCCACACCTGGCGATGTGTGTACCAGGGCCCCCCAGGAAACCGCAGGAGGCCCGAGTTGGATACCAGAAGAGGCCCCAGGATGCCCCGGGATTGTGAGTGTTGTGTGTGTGTCTCTGTGTGTGTGTGATGTGTGTGTTTTGTGTTGTACGCTTTTTCTGTGCGTTGTAGGTGTTGTGTGTGTGTGTGTGTGTGTGTGTGTGTGTGTGTGTGTGTGTGTGTGTGTGTGTGTGTGTGCGTGTGCGTGTGCGTGTGCGTGTGCGTGTGCGTGTGCGTGTGCGTGTGCGTGTGTGTGTGTGTGTGTGTGTGCATGCATTTTTAAGTTCCCAGGAGGCTCCAGGAGGCCCCAAGAGGCTCCAGGAGGCCGCAGGAGGCCCCAGGAGGTTCCAGGAGACCCCCAGGAGGCTCCGAGGCGGGGTCTGGGGCACCAGAAGGTACAGAAAGCCACAGGAGGCCCCAGGAGGTTCCAGGAGGCTCCCGAGAGGCTCCGAGGCGGGGTTTGGGGTACCAAAAGGTACGTCAGGGTAGGATTTTGGGAGGATGTCTCAGGCGAAGTCGCAATTAACCGAGAATCGGGGTCAAAATCGTTGAAATGACCATGTGTTTTTCAAGGCTTTACGTTAGAATGTTGAAATTCCTATATGTTTTTGGACCCTGACGTCACGATCTGCGTGAGGGGCGCCACCGATGTTCAGAATTTCGAGGATGTCCCTAGCGAGGCGGCCAGAAAAATCACGACCGCCGCCTTCAACTAATGGGTTCTGAGCTCTACTGCCTCGGATAGGTGCGCATGAATATATATATATATATATATATATATAATATATTATATGTATATATATAATATATATATATAATAATGTATACTATATATATATGTATATATATAATGCATACATATATATATATATAATATATAAATATATATATATATATATATATATGCATATAATGTATACACACACATATATATACATATATATATATATATATATATATATTGAACAATAGCCGCCATCCATCCGTGAAACATTCGAACACGTTCAAGACGAATGCGCGCGGCGCTATGCAAGAGACACATTGTGAACACGGAGCGCGCTCCATCCGTGAAAGTCTTGCAGCGTGTTTGAGTACATGTACGCGGCCATTCGGCGAGAGCCTTGTTTTGAAAGCGGGCCGCCCTTCATCCGCGAAAATGTTGTTTTAATCTCAAGCTTCATGATCATGAATTGTGAGGAAGCCCGGCCCGCCTTTTCGACCAGGTACAACAGGGAGGAGGTATCTACAAGGAACAGGAATGATGGAGGACGATGGGGAAAGGGGGGAATAGGAGGAAAAGGAAGAGGAGGAGGATGAGTAGGAGCAGGAACGTGAGCAGGAACTGGAGCAGGAGCAGGAGCAGGAACAGGAGCAGGACACGGAGCAGGTCACGGAGCAGGACACGGAGCAGGAGGAGGAGGAGGAGGAGGAGGAGGAGCAGGAGGAAGAGGAGGAGGACGTAGAAAAATAATAACAACACAAACGAAACGTAATACGATCCATGATACTAGAATTAATAATACTAGGAAGCATGATACGAATAAAAAGAACAATACTAAACACGTATTATTACTCTTACTATCCTTAAGAATGTTAAGAAGAAGACGGAGAAGAAAAGGAGGAGGAGGAGGGGGTTTCCTCCTCCGCCCTGCACCTCGCTCTGTGACGGCCGTCCCTTGCCACGTGCTCGCGTGCGCCCCGCGGCACGCCGCCGCCGAGCCCTGGCCCCTGCCTGCTCCGAGCTCGTGTCGTGTCGACGCGGCTTGGGGAAGAAGAGACGGCACGCACGGTTGGCCCCAGCATTTGTTCCGGCTCGGTTCGAGGCGCCGGGTTCGGCAGGGTTCTATGCCTTTTTCGGCCTCGGGGGACGTTTTAGGGCAACGGGAATATCGAAAACGGATCCGGGGTTAAAAATTGCGCCTGACGACCCCGGGAGGGGTGCGGGGACCGGTTTTGAACGGCTTTGGCTTCATGCCTCATCCTATCCGAGGTCCTAGGGTCCCAGCCAGGTCAGAGCCCCTGGTCGCCTCCACGGCACAGGCATGAGTTGTGCTGCGCTAGCTTTCGGATTCCGCGCGGGGTGCCTGCCTGCCTGCCTCGTCGAGAGCTCTCCAGCGGCTGCGCCTCCTCGAGAGCTTTCCGCGGGTGCCCAGATGCGCCCGAGGCTGCGGAGTGCCCGAGCTGTGGGCCGCACGCCGCCGCTGCACACGGCAGGGTCGAGTCGCGTCGCGTCGACGCGGTGGCGACCCCAAAGCAGGCGCTCGCGGTCGGGCGTCGCCAGTGGGCCAGAGCCGGCGGGAGGAGGAGGAGGAGGAGGAGGAGGAGGAGGAGGAGGAGGAGGAGGAGGAGGCGGAGGAGGAGGAGGAGGAGAAGGAGGGAGGAGGAGGAGGGAGGAGGAGAGGAGGAGGGAGGAGGGAGGAGGGAGGAGGGAGGGAGGAGGGAGGAGGGAGGAGGGAGGAGGGAGGAGGGAGATGTCGGGCGATCTGCTCTGTCGAGAATAGCCGCGAGCGCTCAAGAGGGAGCGGCCCCACGCGGTGTGTCAGAAGCCCACGCCGAGAGCGGCAGCCTGTTTGAGAGGCCAGCGCCGAGTCGTCCCGACACGAGCCTGCCCGTGAGACGGCCCCCTGGGAGACCAAACCTGCGCAGCACATCCTCTCGGCAGGTTCTCACACGACGGCTGCGTCGACGACCACGACGTCGCCGCCGCCGCCGCCGACGACCACGGCGCTGATCACGACGACGTCCATCTGCGACGTCGTCCATCGACGACGGCGGCTGCCGCTGCGGCGGCCGCGGCGGCCGCGGCTGCGGCGGTGGCGGTGGCGACGGCGGCGGCGACGACGACCGCCCGCGAGGGCCCCGCCGAGGGGCGGGCGGCGGCGGCGGCCCCGCCAGGTGCAGGGCCCGAGTGGGCGTCTGCACGGTGCTCCCGTGTGACTGGCACGTGCACGGCAACGCGTCCGGGGAGCCCCGGCGGCTCTCTAGACGGCTGCTCTTCGGGAGGGGAAGAAGCACACACAGACACAAGCAGTCGTCGATTCCCCAGAAATTATGGGAACATATGTGGGAAGTGGGGGGGGGGGGAGACAGAATCCCGGAAGATGTGGGAAAATATGGGTAATCCTGTTACTTGCGTCTATCTCTTTGTGTGTCCCAGGGCCCCTTCAGTTCCAGCAGAGGGGGGAGTGGTCGACCCCGGAAAACCGGGCGCTGCCATTCTGTCACAACGGGCGATGGCGCCCGGTTTGGGCCCCCGGGGCCCCCACGTATCGATCCGTTTCGTCAGCGCCGCAGAGAGATGGGGTCGATCTAGGCCTCCTGGATGGGGTCGGAGTGGGTGAGGTCTGAGGATCGCGCCGCGTCGCCGATGCATCGGCGACGCGGCTCGATGTGGAGCCCGATGTTCATCACGCCGACGTCGCCGACGCATCGCCGACGTCGCCGATGCATCGTCGATGCATCATCGATGTACAGGTGATGCATCGGCGATGCGGCGCGATCCTCCGGCCCCATCTACTCGGACCCTTTCTAGAAAGATGCCTCTGATCCAGCGTCTTTGTTTGGCAGTGCTGCCATGTTGGTTTGCAGCCTCGGATCGCAGGGGGCGTGGGGCAGTCGAGGCGACGAATCATCGGCGTGGACGACAGTCTAGGGCGGTAACTGCGGGCGAGATTTTTGTTCCATGGTTGTATCAAGTGCCTCTTGGACTTTCTTGGAAGATGGCGCCGCACGGCCGAGGCGAACTGGATATGGATACAGATCGAGCCTCCCAAAGGCGATGTTATCCGTATCCAGTGCGCCTCTAGGCCTTTCTGGAGAAGGGAGCCCGAGACTCCATGCTGCAGTGGATACGGACAGGAGGAGGAGGAGGGCGATGAGGAGGTGGAGGAGGAGGAGGAGGAGGGCGAGGAGGACAACAGTAGAGACTTCGGGCTGGGTCGTAGACACCCTCCCCGGGGGGCAGCCCCACGGCTGGCCCCGACGGTCGGTAGTCCCCAAACGTGGTGGTGACAACACCTGGCGGTGAGCTTCGGGCGATTTGGTGTCAGCACCCGGTTTGGGGGCTCGTGCGGTTTTCCGAGGATGTCCCGAACACTGGCGGGTCCAGGAGTCACACAACCCGGTGGTGACCCCGTGTCCCCAAACCCAGCGGTGACCTTTTTGGGGATTCCAGGTCGCCACCCGGTACCTCACCACCCGGTTTGGGGGTTCCCAAGGGCTCCCCGGGGGCAGCCCCCCGGCCGGCCTCGGGGCGGGCCCGCGCACCCTTGGGGGCAGCCCGGGGGCGCCGCCCCTCCCGCGGCGCCCGGGGTCGGGCCGCGGAGCCCGACGGGGTGGCCTCGTCAGCGGCTCGGAGGAGGAGGAGGAGGAGGCGGAGGAGGAGGAGGAGGAGGAGGCGGAGGAGGCGGAGGAGGAGGAGGCGGAGGAGGAGGAGGAGGAGGAGGGTCCGAGGATCGCGCCGCGTCGCCGATGCATCGGCGACGCGGCTCGATGTGGAGCCCGATGTTCATCACGCCGACGTCGCCGACGCATCGCCGACGTCGGCATGCTTCCCGGATGGGGTCCGAGTAGACGGGGTCCGAGGATCGCGCCGCATCGCCGATGCATCGGCGATGCGGCTCGATGTGGAGCCCGATTTTCTCCATGATGGCGTCGCCGATGCATCGCCGATCTCGTCGATGCATCGCCGATGCATCGGCGATGCAGAACCGGTGTATCGGCGATGCGGCGAGTTTTTCCAACCCCATCTCCTCCGACCACATGGTGGAAGACAGAAGTCCCCAAACAGGATGGGAGCATACGGGGACTCCTGGTATTTGAGTGTATTTACTTGGGTGTCCCTGGGCCCCTTCGCAGTTGCCCACCTCAAGCCGTGCTGGCTTAATCAATGGCCAAAGCATGTTGTTCAGGAGCCGGCCCCGCAGTCATAAGCTGTAGGCTGGTGTTCAAGCCAGCCATGCGAAGTTAAAGGCAATGATATAATACACAGTCCGGCGCACATCGCTGGGGTGCGTGATGGCGAAGGCGACGATGAATAAACAACATCATTACATTTGTTCACGTCTACATCACGTTCGTGTCGTGGTGCGATTCCGCTTCTCATCAAAGGGGTGTTGAGACCGCCGCCCTGGACTATTCGGGGGGCCCGGTAAGGCCAGCTGGGAATACTCGGCGAGCTGGTTGAGGCCAGCCAGGACTGCCTTGGGGTCTGTACGTGCGCACACCGAAGGCTTACCAGTCCTGGGTCCGTCTCGATCCGATCTGGAGCGAGGTGGGTTGGTCTAGGCCTCCTAGATGGGGTCCGAGTAGATGGGGTCGAAGGATCGAGCCGCATCGCCGATGCATCGGCGATGCGGCTCGATGTGGAGCCCGTGTTTCCCCGCACCGACGTCGCCGATGAATCACTGACGTCGTCGATGCATCGCCGGCGCATCGCCGATGCATCGCCGATGTATCGCCGATGTATCGGCGATGCAGCGCGATCCTCCGACCACATCTACTCCGACCCCATCTAGGAGCCTCCTAGATGGGACTTGGCGGGGCGCGCGCGTTTGCTTTGGTTCCCTTGGGTGTTCCTGCCTCGGGGTGCATGCCAGCGTCTGCGCCCTGCCGCGAACTTTCCCCGTCGTGTCCGAAACGTCCCCAACGGCCGCCGGAGGCCAGAGCTATGACCCCCAAACCAGGGTCCACTTTGATCCGATCGGACCAGTTCGATACTCCAGATTTCGTAATAAAAGGGAGGGGGTCTCATTTCGGGGGGGGTCTCTTCCAGGCTATCTTGGAGGGCCTGGGGGGGTCTGGGGACGATGTTTTGGAGGGTTCTCCCACGGGGGGGGTCTGAAATGGCTTGTCTTGGAGGGTCCAGACCCCCTCCCTTTTATTACGAGATCTGGAGTATCCATTCTGGCCGGCTCCATCCGCTTCGATTGCGACATTAAGACGGTCGGATGCGGTCCGATGTTTGCATGGCGCGGTTGCGAGTTTTGGCGCGGCCAAGCGGATTTGATCCCCACTTCGTGCCGATGCAGCCCGATCTGATGCACACCCATGCAATACGATTTCCTGATTCGATGCTGATTGATCCCTCCAGTACGCGTCGGTCGTTGAAAGTAGTAGGTACGTTTGGATTGGAGAGGCCTTACGGCCGTTGCCGACCTTGAACGACGACGAAGACGACGACGACGATGCTGACGTGCGGCAGAGTCCTCGGGGATGCTTCGTAGGGTCTCTTCGGAGCGCTCTCGGGTGCCTCTTGGGGGCAGTGTTGGGGCCTCTTGGGGGTCTCTTGCGGGCCTGTTGGGAGGCTCCTGGGGGCCTCTTGGGGCTTCCCGAGGGCCTCTTGGGGGTCTCCTGGGGGCCTCTTGGGGGCTTCTTGACGCTTCCTGAGAGCCTCTCGATCAGGCCGAGGGCTCGAACTGTCCGTTCGGTTCTCCCGTCTGGGCACCCTCTTGGAGCCTTCCTGGGGGCCCCTTTGGCCGTCTTGGGGCCCTCTTGGGCCATCTTGGGCCCTCTGGGGTCTTTGTGGGGCCCTCTTGGAGGCCTCTCGGGCCATCTTGGGGCGATCCTGGGGGCCTCTTAGGCTGTCTTGGAGTGTGGGGAAGCTCGAAAGGCGAGAATCTCCACATCTACCGATAACGTTAGGAAAATTAATGTTTTTTACCTCTTGGGGCCCTCTTGGAGGTCTCTTGGGGCGTCTTGGAAACCTCTGGTGCTGTCTGGAGGCTACGTTGGCGTCTTGGACCGATGGTTCGGCGACTCGGGACCTCTTGGACCGTCTTGGGGGCCTCTTGGGGGAGTCTCGGTTCGTCTTTGGGGGGCTGGGGGCTCTGGGGCTCCTGGAGGGGGGGGGGGGCGTTCTGGCCCGAGACTTGCCCCATGCCCCCTCCCGGGACCCCAACCCTCGGCCCCTCCCTCTGGGACCACCCCCCGTTCCCCCCCCCCTCCGGCGGGGAAGGGATCGAAGGGAACGGGCTTCCCTTCGACTCAATTACCACGTTGCTGCTTGGTTTCGCTTTGGCTGGCGCGCTTGAGGAGGAGGAGGGCCCAGGGAAACGGAAGGACGGCGACGGCGACGACGACGACGACGACGGCGACGGGCGGAGGAGCGTTTTCCACACGCCGACAGGGTCGGCGATCCCAATCTATTATTGTCGCCTTCCTAATTACTTCAATGATCGAGTGGTTTTTCCTGTCCCTTCCTCTTCAGGGAGCGGGCGGGCGGAAGCCCAATATACTTCCAACGCCTTCGTACTTCATGTCTCTACCCACGTCTTCCTACCGAACGGTATAGGTCTCGCGGTGCTGAGCAAGGGGGGAATTGGGAAAGGGCAGGCTAGGCTTAACCAGTGGCGATGGATATGTACAAGTCTCGTCGCCCTGAGTGAGTGGGGTTGGAAGACTGCCACATGCAACCGATGTGTCGGCTGCGCCGCCACGCGCTGTCCTCTGCACGCGGCAGCCTCCGGCGCCGGAAGGCGCCAGACCTGAGGTGCCAGAGAAACCAGCCGCGTGTCGCCGATTCGTTGACCCATCTTCTGTTATCCGTCGAAGAGCACACAAACTTCATAGGCAAAAACTTGCGCAGCTCCACGCAGATTTTGTGGATCTTCGTTGGGGCCCCTGGCGGCACCTCCCGCCGCCCCTGGCGCGCGGAGCGCGCCAGGGAAGGTGGGCCAGCGCCGATCCAAGAAATCCACGCGGAGTTTCGAGAGTTTTGTGTTGGTGTTGATTTTTCTGTGTCTAATTCCTTATCTATCGTCCACCCCGAAAAGAAAATGAGCGGTGCTGAGCCTGATTTCAATTCCAGCGTCCATACGACTCGTCTTTTCGGCGATTGCTGTATGCTTCAGAATCTCCCCACCGTGCTCTGGTATTTGTTTGCTGTCATTCTTCCCTCACTGGACACATTTGCCCCCCTCTGCCTCCCCCCTGTACCCTTCGCTCCTCTCTCTCTCTCTCTCTCTCCCCTTCGTATCCTTCGCATCCTCGCCTCCCCTCGCCCATTCCCTTATATTCCCCTCTTTTTCTCTCTCCCTCGGTGCTACTGCCGCCTTCACGCCAGGAGTGTATAAACGGCTTTTGCCTATGCAGGCCTGGTTATTATGCCGGCAAGGACGGGTGAAGTGGTCTTTGGGCTGCCAATTGCGGCGAGTGTCCACAGTGGATGGCAGTGATTTGTAGCAGCTTGCATGTGTCTCGCGGGTCCTGGCATGTGTACTTGGTGTTGTTGGTGGCAGCCCTTGTGAGTTCGAGCGGGCACGTCCTGCTGGCACTTCGGCATGCTATCTTGCAGCGAGAGGCGGGAAGCTGTAGAGGTGCGCCACCATTCCCTCTGCTTCCTCGTCCCGTCCCCCTCCTCCTGACCCTCCTCTTCCTCCTCGCCCTCCTCCCCCCCACCTCCCGCTCGGATGCAAAGCAAGCGGACTTGGACGCAGCCTGGGGGGCGACGGAGGACGGACGGCATTGGGCGTTGCAGTGAGGGGTGGGGCGATGCAGTGGGGGGTGGGCGGGGGGATCTCAGGCTGGAGGCCAGGGGCCTTAAAGGAGTAGGAGAAGGAGGAGGAGGAGGAGGGGCAAGAGGAGGAGGAGGAGGAGGAGGAGGAGGAGGAGGAGGAGGAGGAGGAGGAGGAGGAGGGAGGAGGAGG